GGTCATTTGCGTTCAGTGCATTTTTGATCATTTTCAATCTAGTGAAGTTTCAGTGTTGATATTTTTTGTATATGTTCATAAAACTGTAGTTTTATGTCAAAGGTGCAATACTCATAAAAAACATTATATTTAGTATATATTTCCGCTTTTTCAAAACGTAACGAATTCATTACGTTCGTCTTTTGAATCGACGGTGACGAAAATTACCACAGCATGGATTGTGGTTAGTTTTATGGAAAATGGCGAATTTATGACCTAGATGGAAGCGATATACACTCAGACAAGGAACCAGATGCTAATATGGATGGAATTGATAAATAAAATGTGTATTATATTTAAATTTTTTATTTTACAATATAAATTTTAATTATACTGCTATTCAAACTATTTTGATAACAATATTTATTTTTTCCCATGATAGGTAGTGAATATACACCTGATTATTCTGATTTGGATGAATTAGAAGCCCTTGTAGTTAGATAATACTAGTGAAGATGAGTTAGAAACTTCAGTTGTTAAGTTGAAGAATCAATTCCAATAACTACAAGTTCAAAGCCATCTACATCAAGAAACCGAAGAATTCCTCTTTGGCGGCGCATTTCTGGAGACGGTACAGCTAGACCTATGCCTGAATGGTTAGGACAAATAGATTCTTCTGGGGTAGTAAAACGTCCTGTTGAATATTTTAGACATTTTTTTCTCAAAGGATATCATTACTCATATTGTCGACTCAAATCTTTATGCAATCCAGCAAAATCCCAATTAACCTCTTGCACTGAGTAGCCAGGAACTTGAGCAATTTTGGGTACACTGCTTGCTATGTCGATGGTGAAGCTCTCAAATTCACGTTTATATTGGAAGAGCAAACTAAACTGTCCTATTGTATCGGAAGTGATAAGTAGAGATAGATGGGAATATATAAAGTCCAAGATTCACTTCAATGATAATTCACAAATTCCCTTACCTAATGAGAAAAGAGATAAATTATTCAAGATCCAGCCTTTGATAGACCATTTACCAAAAAGTTTCGGGAAATACCAATGCCCCAAATGCTATGCATGGATGAACAGATAGTTCCATTTGAAGGTAGATCAAGCATAAAACAATATCTACCCAGCAAACCGCACAAGTGGGGGTACAAATGGTTTGTTCTTTGCGATGACAAAGGCATCCTGTATGATTTTTTCATCTCTTCAGAGAAAACTGAACCAGTGTTAGGAGAACCCCACTTGGGAGCTAGTTCAAATGTAGTACTGAAATTGGCCCAATCAATTCCTGTTGGATTGAACCATTTATGATATTTTGATAATTGGTTTACGTCACTTCCTTTGATGACAACTTTAGCAAAAATAAAAAATTTAGCTTGGGAACTGTTAGAATCAATTGTTTGCCTGGCATCCCACTACTCAAGGACAAAGATTTGGTGGAAAGAGGCAAAGGGTCCCACCAAGAAGTGACTGCCTGGTTGACGATACTGAAGTACGTGTAGTGAAATGGCAGATAACAGAGTTGTAAACCTGATGTCAACTTTTGCCTCAGCAGAACCAAAGGCCAACTGGAAGCGACATGACAAAAAGACAAAGCAAACCGTCACAGTCGATTGCCCCGCTATTGTGAAAACCTACAATCGGTTCATGGCAGGCGTTGATTTGATAGACTCGCTAATTGCACTGTACAGAATTCACATCAGATCGAAAATATATTATCACAAAGTATTTTATAGATGTGACTGTTGTGAACTCTTGGCTACTTTATCAGAGAGACTGTGAGAGCCTTTGGTTACCAAAACAACAACAACAAAAAACCCAAAGTCTGGAAGAGTTCAAAATGAGCATCGCCGAAGCTCCTCTTCCTGAAGGAACAAGTAACAGACCAACAAAAAGAGGCAGCTTCTACTGGCTTTACTGAAGCTGAGTTTGCTACAAAAGAGAAGAGGTCCTGCCACCAGAAGTCTCCCTGAAAGAGATACTCATTTGGATGGTCTTCACCATTACCCTGAGATCCCAAACAGAGGAAGATGCAAACATGCAAATTGCTGGAGTGTACCAGTATTCTTCTGCAGCAAATGCAAAGTTCATCTTTGTATCATAGAAGAAAAAATTGTTTTGTTCAATTTCACACTAACTAAAATTATAAATGAATAAATTTTGTATTATATTTTATAAATAAAATAAGTTTTCGTTTGTTTTTTATTTAACAATAAAATAAGATGAAAAATAATATAGAAATGAAGGTGCATTTTTATTCTTGTATTATAAATCCATGGACAAATATGACAATTTGGTTACATTTTTAAAACATTGCAAATTTTATATTTTTAAAATATATTTTGGTTGTTATATATATTGATAACTATGAAAGTAATGAATAAAAACAAAAAACTTTTTTTCCTGAAATTAAAAATTCAGGCATTATAGGGCTAGAAATCGATGAACTACCAACTGAGATGTTTCGACAAGCATACAAAATTGAGATGTCTCAACAAACAGAGGCAACACTGGAAGCACTCACGTGTCTATGCCAAATAATTTGGAAGATAGGTACCTGGCTAACTGATTGGAAGAGATACCTATTTGTGCCCATTCCATTGAAAGGCGTTCCTACAGAATGCAGGAATTATTGAACAAGATTATTAATATCATATGAAAGCAAAATTTTCTGAAGTTAATTCAAAATCAGTTGCAGCAGTGCATCAAAAGGGAACTTCCAGGAACTCGAGGCAGAATTCAGAAGAGAATATGGAAGAATGCATGTCACTGCTGGATGGATCTTGGGTAAAATGACAGTGCGTTAGGAAGAGGTTCACCTGTGTTTTATTGATGTTGTGAAGGTATTAAACTATGTCTATCATAACACCTTATTGATTGAATTAAGAAGGATGAGACTACCAGAACACCTGATTTTGCACAGGAGAAACCTGTACATCGACCAGAGGCGGTCATGTGAGCAAACCAGGGGGTGCTGCTTGGTTTGGAATCAGTGAAGCTGTGCATCAGGATTGTGTCTTTCTACCACACTTCTTTCATCCGCGTGCTGAGAAGATAAAGGGAGAAGCCGGACTCTACCAAGCAGAATGCAGCATCGGGATGGGAAAAGACTCCTTAATCTACACACGGCACAGCCTTGCTTGTTAGAAGCGAAGAATACTAGAAGCACTTCCTAATGAAATTTTAAAACTACCGCTCTCAGTCTTCATTCCACCTCAACATAGAGAAACTATAAATTCTCACAACTGGACCATGAACAACCTCATGGCAAACCTAGAAAAGAATGAAGTTGCCAAGGACTTCATCTTACTTGGATCCAGAGTGAGCACGCACGGAAGCAGCCGCCAAGGAGCAAAGGATGCATTGATTACACTGGGCAGGTCTGGGGCACTTTTAAGACGTCTTTAATGTGTAAAAGAGTCAAGATGCCACTTTGAAGACTCAGGTGCGCCTGACCCACACCACGGCAGTTTCTCATCTCCGGATGTGCCCGTGAAAGCTGCACG